TCATGGAGTTTGTAATATTGACACGTGTAATTTTTCTACAGAAAAAAAAAGTTTAAGAAAAAGTAAAGAAAAAGCAAGTCTGATCAGGTGCTTAGCATAGGCAGCAATTAAGCTAGCTAGGTAGCTACTTACCCACCGAGTTGAGTCATAGCCTTTAGCTTTACCCCTTCTTCTTCAAACCTTTGGCTAGAAGACAGCGTGTAGAATACCTAGGTAACAAAAACCTGCATATGCATTTTTTTTTTCTAAATGCTTTCAGCCAGTCGAAAAAGTGCATCGTCTACTGACTGTCCTAAGCATTTTACTTATTACGGGAATGCTACATAATAAGTAAATAAGTACATTTCAATCCAATCCAATCAAGTATGAAGTCAAAGAAAAGAAAAACTTTTAGAACCAAATAAATATTAAAATGTGGTTTAACTGACAAAAGTGACTTCAGACCAAACCTCCCCCTATATAACCTAATAATTCTTATATGAGGACTTCTCAGGGAGGTTTTTTCAGAACAAATGGCTTAGCAATGTCAGAGGCTATCACAAGACATTAACAGATGATTCTCAAATCTAACCTGCAAATTTGGCCCACATTTCTTCTTATTGAAATGATGGCAACTCTTGCTAGGTACTGCTTTAAGGTAGTGCTTGGATCAATACGTCCTCACATAATTTAGTCAGGAAAGTCTGAGCCATGCATCATTTACACAGCGTGCAGCAATGCACAGAAGGCATACTACAAAACCTGCAGTACTTTATGTACATATGTGTGCAGCATTTTATATGTTCACCAGCAAATAAAATGTTAGTTCAAAGTATAACTGCAACATTTTTTCTTTTAAATAGCTTGGGTTTCTCTCTAATATCAGTTAATAGATTAAAAACTAGTGAAAACTACAATTCAAAATTACTCAAAATTAGACAACAACTTACATTATCCTGAATTTGATCTTAATTTGATGTTAGGATAATTTTAAATTATCCTAACATCAACTGGGGGGTCAAGCTGAGGGGAATATCAAAACTGCAAATATTGCACATCACAATTATTTTTTTAACCCTCAAATTAGAAGCTTTTAAATGAACTCTTTGGGACACTTCACAGATGGAAGCCTTGCACTTGGTCGTAATTTCCTTTTTGCCCTAAAACTAATATCAATCACTTTGAAAGATGGCGAGCTCGTGGTTGTTTTACAGGTAAAGACTGACAGAATGATCCTTGAAGCAATTGTAAGAGAGTGTAGTTTTTCCAGTTCTTAAACAATTCAAATTTTAAAATGACAGTCCTCTCAATATTTAGCCAGGAGCCACCTAGCATCCAGTGTCATGCATGCAGCCGCCTTGTGTTAATTTGATTTTTATTATATTATATATGTTAAGAAAATTAGAGAAATGTGTCCAAAGTGTGAGAAGTCCATTTGGAGGAGGCAGAGTCGTGGTTTGGGGTATCTTTTCTGCATCAGCAGTTAGGGCCTCTTCTACAATTACACTGCAAGCTAAACAGTGATGCTTATCATAAGCTCCTTTACGTATCTCTGCTTTGAAAATGATAATCTTAAAAATAATGAAATTAATTAAGAATATTTTTAAGTAAAAAAAAACACTTGAATTACACCCCTACAGGCATCATTTTAAACTGGACTAAGTAAGAGATTCAAAAGACACCAAATTCTTATTTCATGCATTCACAACCTTTATATGTTTGGTTTGCCAGAGACCTACATATCATTTCTTTACTTTAAAGAAGAAAGAATTTGGCCATCTGGTATTATTATTACTATCATCACTGTTTTGTTCGGGGTTGGTTAAAACAGTTCACAGCCTGTACAATTGCTCATGCACTGAAACCTCTGATGCTGAAATCCTATCGCCTTGACCTTTAACAAAAGACTGAGCATCCCTGAGGGGAGCTAAATAAAAGGGCACCACTGTGTTTTCTACTGATGCCACTGATATGATATCAATGGTTTTTCAGTAAGGGGGGGATTTGCTCTTGCTTTTTTTGGTATATGAAGGCCCACATTGCTAAAAAGAGGCTGTCAGGGTGCATAAAGTGTCGAAAAGAGACTTCCTCATCCCTTCTTGCCCCAAGGACAGTAAGGAGGGCAGCAGAGGAGCACTGATTGGGAACAACACCTGTCAGGTGAGGCTTTCGCAGTTGACAGCGCAGAAAGAGTGCCAGGTCGACCGCTATGACTGCTAATCTGTGACGTGGCAACCTGCCGGGCTCTGCCAGTCTCAAGAGAGAGAGAGAGAGAGAGAGCGCCAGGAGCCCCAGTGTTGAGGCTTTTCTGGGGCTACAATCCTGCTAATGTCTCCCCGAACAGAATGAACCACGCTGACATGCTCTAAATACATTTCATTATCATCATCATGATTATATCACTAATTGTGTGTGCTTGGTAACGTGCTGCAGCAGCCTCCTCCAGGGAGGTGTCTGAAAGACTGAATGATTAAAACATGTATGATGAACCATGCATCAAAATGTCCCTGCGGGCCTCTTCGCAAGATACATGTAAGCAGCTCCACTGACACTCTGAGCCAGCAAACAGCAGAGGATGTGATCTGCTGAGGGTTGAAAGGCCGGGGAGAAACCTGCAGGCAATAACAAGACAGCAGGTGGATATTAGAGATGCAGAGGATTGACCTGAGCTGACCCATCCATATCCTTAAACCCACACTACCTAACCTATATACCTTAAGACATGGGTCCAGAGCAGCCTAAATAATTCCACCACCACACAACGAGTGAAGCAGAGGCTTAGGTTCAAATCATGGCTGGGCTTCTTTGGCCTGTGCTTGGCAATGTTTCCATCCTTATATGTGGTTGACAGGAGCGGATAAAGTTTTTGTGACAGCATTTGATGAATGTTTAATCCAACATTCATACATCGAGGGCTGGGACTGGGTCCCCAGTCAAAACCCACCAAAGACACACAGCAGGTGTGTAAAATATTCATTCACTACACGCTTCATTAAGAATGAAACATATCATGGTCCCCGTTCATTTATTCATTTCGATTATCGAAACAAAAGACAGAAAAATGAGAGATTAAAACATGGTGGGCACGCTATTCTGTATTTGTCTCACAGATTTGTAACGATTTGTTTTGTGACAAATAACTCTGTCTGTTGAAATCCTGCTGTCATCTTGCTGAGAGTCAGGCAGCTACTGCGAGAGAAGCTTTCATGTGAGGGGCTGTAACAAATTACTGTCTGTCTGTCTGGGACTATCCAGCTCTGCTTCCGATTGCAGCAGCTTGACCTTTGACTGGTCCAGGAGTGGCCAGGGACTCATCACACACGGCGTGCTGATACATACCTGAGCCATCAACCAAGAAAGGGACAGGTTTCATATTTTTATTAATTAATGGCCATTAATGATCTCTCCTGGTGACAAATCACCACACGCAGACAAATGAAGTGACTAATGCCGTGCCTGTCAGTGCTCGGGCTAGCTGAATGAATATGTCACTGTGGAGTGCCAGCGCTATTTCAACATACCCTTTTTGAATGAATGTGTCACACACGTGACAAAATTTCCCCATGGAGATCATTAAAGTTTCATCTAATCTAATCGAATTAGTTCAAGTCCTGACAAACTGCCCAAGGCTGCGAGGCAACAGCGAATCTACACAGAACAGACAAAAATATATCCAGATTAGAAATTTAAATATTCCTTATAAAGCGTTGTTACAGTGGTACTGAAGATGTGGTGACAGCATGCCAGCTATCACTACACTGCTATTATTTATTTATTTAGTTTTGACAAGGTTAAAAATCAAAATTTGCAATCTTTTACATATAGTTTTGCTGCGGTTTCACATCTGTTTTAGATGAAGCTGTGTCTGCTCTGAGGCAACATTTTTATTTATTTTTTGTTGCTTGATACTGTAATAAGAAGCTCAGCCTGTTTAGCATACATCATCTTAATGTAAGTCTGTGTATTGTCTAAATATGACTGAAGATATTTAGATGGGTTTTGAGTTGCCTTACTGTTTCCTGTCAGCTCAAAGCTGTCTGTCCTTTCTGACCTCTGACATCAATAATACATTTTCACCCAGAGAACTTCAGCTCACTGGATAGTCTCTCTTTTTATTTTGAGCATTCTCCAAAATGTTTGTATAGAAAAATCCCAACAGATCAGCAGTTTCTGAAATACTCAGACTAGCTTTTCAGGCACCAACAACCATGCCTCACTCAAAGTAAATGAACTTTTTAAAAGTTTTGATGTCAGTTTGAACTTCCAGGTCATCTTGACCGTGTCTACGTGCTTAAATGTACTGATTTTTGTGTTCACAAGCAGTTGAACAGATATACCTAAGAAAGTGGCCAGTGAATGTGTATTGGACAAGTAAGAGACAATTTTGCAATTCTTGAGCCCTCTTAATGCCTTCAAGTCAAAGATTCTTACAGCCTTAGCAGAGATTAAGTGTATCATGGTCAAAGAAAGCTCCCTGTGTAAGTTTAATAACATGTATTGATCTGGTATAACATGATAGGTCACAGCTTGCACCCAATAACATGTCTTTACTTTGCAGCAAGAGTCCCTTTTACTCCCTTTTTAAGCAATTACATTTTCACTTGAGCTTAAAAAAATATCACTAACTGTACAAGCCAGACAGTTGACTTTTATTTATAATTAAGCACAATGTGGCAAAATATGAAAGGGATTAATGAACATTTTCTTGTGAATTGCAAATAATAAAAAGCATGCATATAAAAATCATATAAAAGAATTCTTGATGCTTTAATTTATTAGCAGTGTTTTAAAGCATTATGGAAAGGTATGTTTCTTAGACAATCCATACCTTTTCTTTACAGTGAAATGTAGTGTTTCGGTTATTTTGCCACGTGAATTTTTTGTTAATGTTGCTGAGTTTTTATTTTTAATATTTTTTATTCTTATTATTTTATTATTTATTTCATTATTATTATGTGTGCTAAATGACTTGATAAAAGTCAATTTTATAATCGGCGGAGGAAGCTCCTCACTTTTCTCCTCCCGCGCTTGTCTGACGTCACTTCCGCCGCCCAGAAAACATGGCGGCTGCCAGTGCCTGTGATTCGGTGCACACCCTTCCCAAAAACGTAGTCATTAAGACTGAACCAGAAGCGGAGGATGTGTCGGTCAAGCGGGAGCCCGTCGTTCCTCTCATTGCCCCGGTCAGCGGACTCCAGCCTCTCTCGTGGTCGCAGGACCACCGCCTGGCTGTGTGCACCTCCAGTTCCCTGGCGGTGATGGAGCTGGTGTGCGACGTCCACAACAACAAACAGGACCTAACGCTGCACAGGACTTCAATCCCCGTCCCAGCCGAGGAATACAAACTGCGGGTAAGCGACCGCATACAGTCGCTTGTTACCTGCTAACACCAACACGTTATAAGAGGGAAATATCAGAACCCATGCAGCTCTGTAGCTTTAGCCTACTGAGCTGATGTGGTGTTTACAAGTCACGTGCTCCACTGTTTTGATTGGGAAACAATAACAACTTCTTCTGCGGGAAGCTCACCTTTCTTTTACTTATTTATTTTTTAAATTTCAGTTTAGTTTGGGCTAGTTTAGTTTTTGTTTGAAAACGTAGGAGTACAGAGTGGAGAACTGTGGTGCTGCATGAGGAAGTCCGGAGTAGCAGAGAAGTATGTGGGGGTGGTGCAGGACATGCACGAGGGATCTGCTCTGAGCCCCTTCTTGTTTGCAGTGGTGATGGACAGATTGATAGATAATGTCAGTCAGGAATCTCCGTGGACTGTGATGTTTGCAATGACATTGCGAGAGTAAAGAGCAGGTGGAAGAGAGCCTGGAGAGGTGGAGGTATACTGTGGAGCAAAGAGGAATGAAAGACAATACATGTGTGAGTGAGAGGGAGACTGGTGTAGAGCAGGGCAATATGACCAAAAATATTTATCACGATATACATTTGAAAATTTGCGATAAC